TTACACGAAATGTCCTCCCAAGCTCCGCTTTTAATGTGTATTAGTTCGATTGCTCTGTATGTACGGTTTTCGTCGCGCAACAGAAATTACTATTGCTTCTGTCGCATCGAGCGGGTTGCAACACCCGAGCTACAGCGGCGGTACACGTCGCAACGAGTGCTATCTACGGGGTTACGGAACGAGCGCTATCGTTTATGCAACGAGCGCCATCTATAAGGGGTTATGGTATACTGTCACTGTCAATGATTTCAGTTTGTCAATACACGTTATGGGAACAACGGGCTCTCTCAGTCGGCAATGTGCAGGCTCCTGGACTCTTAGTTATAAGCAGCAGCTTATCAAGACGATTGTTTACTTGTACACCCGTAAAACCGCTGTTTTATGCATGTCAGACACGTGCAATCCTTGTCTATTTTGTTATCGGGCACCGTTGGGTATGTGTGTGTGCGCGCGCGCTGGGGAGGTTAATGAGAGGTATAATCGAGAAAGGAAGATGCAGCAGAAGACTTTCACCGTCATTCATCTTGGTAAACATATAATATCTCTCAAAATCTTACTGGCCAATAAGTAAACTTATAGTGGGTACAAAATGGAGCCAGGAAGTTGTCTGAAGCCGTATAGCCATGGACAAACAAGGAAGAATCCATCCACTAGACCCCTGTTTTCTCTCGGTAACCGAACTATCGCTGCTCCCCATCGATCTCTCTAGCATTATTTCAGTAGGAAACTGTGACGTTCATAACTATATAGGTCTTCGAGATCGATGGAAGTGACAGATAGCGCAGTTTTGGAGACTGCATGCTGGCACCGGTGCCATCAAGAACGTCCAGAAAGCGCGGGTCTGTCCGATTCTCTTTCAACACATATCCGCATATGCGTATCAGGAATGGTAGTCCACTAAAAAAAAAAAAAAAAAAAACGCCCGCTCTCTTCTTGACGAGGTCAACTTGGCGTCGTGTCGCCCGCTAACAAGCTCGCCGGACTCGCTCGATGTTTGCGTCGTGTCCGCTTGTTATAGAACACGGCACCGCATATACGGCATTAACTTCCCGAGTCCTTGGGACAGGGCGAGCGTGTAATGGGCCACGATAATGCTCCCGAGTTCCTCCCGTGTACACAGTGTACAGCGGTGGCTCGCTGTGTTATCTGCGGTAAATGCCGTGGTGCCCGCCTCGAGTGTGCACGGGCTACTAACTCGACGAGACAATGGTCTCCGCTGTTCTCTCTCTTTTTTTTTCTTCCTGGTGCGCACAACGGGAAGGAAGAAGGACAGTCCTCCCGTTGCTGTCGAGCGTGTATACAGTTACGCTTTTATCTCTCTCTTTATTTCTGTCTTCATTGCGTGATGAGATGATGTGCTTTTTTTGTGTGTCATGGTCGTGTTGGTGGTGCAGGAACACGAAACCCGCAAGTTCGTGGCCGCGTTGTCTCCGTATCACGTTTCTTTGACGTTATCCCGTTGTGCGTTACACGCTATGCTCCATATCAGTTCAGTAGATCAAGTTGCCATTACACACACACACACACACACACACACACACACACACACACACACACACACACACACACACACACACACACACACACACACATCTGCGCCGTGGAGTTTGGTTAGGGTGTCACTTTTTAAAATTATTTTGAATTGGCGCGACCACCGAGTGACAATGTTGTTTCTTCTCCAGCAATATCCGGTCGAGCCCTCACTTCTGGTTTCAAAATATTCATGTGCTCTAAAAAATGGAAATGCGGTAATTTTGTTCAAGTTTTGATCAGATGTGATCGGTGGTGTTCTGACCGCGAATATTGCCGAAATGTTATAAGTTATTCGCTTTGTTTTTTTATTTTTATGTTTTGCTGTTAGTTTGTTTATTTGTGTGTGTGTGTGTGTGTGTGTGTGTGTGTGTGTGTGTGTGTGTGTGTGTGTGTGTGTGTGTGCGCCCGTTACGGATCGTTCTCAGTCACAAGATGAAAGTGATCGTACAAGTTCATCCGGTTCACCGCTCCATAGTTCGAATCGAAACACATTTGCCGCCATATTTCAACCGCCACTGTACACTGCACATGAGAGATTCGCCCGACTGTGCGGCCTCCTTGAGTGTGCCCCAGGAGCGCTGCATATACGGCCCTTATGCGTCTATAAATATAGTATGGCAGCTCTGCCCACGCACAAACACGTCTGTCCACTGTAAAGTCTTAAGAACGTGGCATAAACACAAAACATCTAAATAAAAAAAAATCTCGCTGCCAGACCTTTCAGGCGGCTCGATTCGGGACGTTAGCCGCGGAGCAAAAAGAGCCATTTCGCCGCCCTCCCGTAGCGCGCGCAACGCCCAAACAGAGAAGAGAGACGGAGCAGAGGCGTCATTTATTTGGGCGTGATCGCCCGTTGTGTAAAAACTTTAGAGCGTCTCTATCTATCCACCTGGGCGTCGGCACCGGCGAAACGTGCGACGCGCAGACTTTGTGCTTCCAGAGAGCCAGAGCGCCATCTGTTCGCATTCTTCAAAGAGCAAGCAACAAGTCGGCAGTTACCCGCTGAAGAATTGCGTGGGCCTCGCTTGACTATTCGGTCTTCGTCCGCTCTCTGTTCCCACGCGTACTCTATATACCTCGTCCGTTGTTCCCGGTTTTTTGCTGCTTTCGTTGTGATATCAGCGTCCGGGAATGTCTCGCTTCCCTCAGCTGCCCGTACAAAAAAAAAATAAAAAAAAGAGGGAGACTGCGCGACCCTCGACCGTCGTGCGGGCGTTGTATACACGTTAAGCGGGGCGTCGGCTCAGTTAGCACGTCCGAGTCGTCGCCCGCTGGATGCGCGTTGGCGTCGTCGTCGCAGGTGGCATCTTGGCGTTACCCTGCCGCGGTGCACGTGGGGTCGCGGTGGGCTTCTTCTATCGCCCGCCCGGCTTTCGCTTCTTTTCAAACCGCGAGCTCGGGCGATCATTGAAGGTGGTGCGTCATTATATACACAACGCGACCTACCACCGCGCCGCCGGTTCTCTTTTCTTCTTCTCGGCTTTCGAAAAAACAAAAAAATTCAACGAATAACCGGAAAGTATCGCGTTGAAGGAACGAGCCGGCGAGCGAGCGGCGTGCAACGGACGATCGCAACAAAGACGGAGGTCATCTTCGCCGCTGAGAGGAATATGCAGCGGCTGAGAGAGAAAAAGAGATAGAAGAGGAGGGGGAGAGGATGATTGCCTGTCTCTTCTTCGAGACAGGAAATGGCGTAAGGCTGCCTGAAGGAAAGAACGTGAGAGAAAGGGTAGGGAGAGAAGGACGAGGAGGGAAGAGGCCGCGCGTCGGCGGCGCGACGGTTGTTGTACAGCCATAGCCGAAGACGCAACCTGGTGCATCTATGTGTGTATACGTTTGCATATCTCCAACCTCGCGCACGCATGTGTGTAGCAGCGCGTTCTCGATGCTCTCGCTGGTGCTGACCGCACGGGCGAAACCGCTTTTCGGTGCCTCCGCCCGGGCGGCCCCCGTCGTAACGACTCCTGCGCACCCTCCTCGCCTTCATTTCTTTCTCTTCCTCGCACACGAAGAAGAGGAGAACTGCTCGTGATGGAGGCCGCCGCCCATGCGGCAAGAACGACCGAACCCCTATATGCAACTTCGCCATCCCTCTTGTTCGCGTTGGCTTCAAACGTGCCAAAAGCCTTGCTGCACGGACCCGCCGCCGGCGCGGGTCGACTTGCAACGCGAGTCTTCGGTCATCTCTCGGTGGTCTCTTCTGTCTCGGAGATGATGACGAGAGAGAAAGAGAGAAATAGAAAAAAGACGCGAAAGAATAGAAGGGCGGACGGCGCTCGACGCTTCGCAGATGACAAGTTTCGCTCCGGGGCGGACGCCGGATGATTCACTGTGTCCGAACGAATGAGGCGGGTTCGCACCGACCCAGGAGATTGAAACACACCCCGGGCGGGAAGTGTGCTCCGAATGAAGTGGACCAACCCTATTGTGGCGCGTCTTCCCGCTCCGTCGTCATTTCGCTCTCTTGTCTATGCGGCTAACCTGCAGGCGTTGAATGAGAATCGACTCCTAGAATTTTTGAGCTTGATTTTTTTTTTCCCCTTGCCTAGTCTTCATCGTCCTCGCTTGATTGCTTTCGCGACGTCGACTCGGGGATCCGATGGCAGGCAACGCAGATGCCGGAGGACATATGTCGACCGGTGTAAGGGTCATGGCTTTGGTCAGTGGTATTGAACTACAGGGAACGACGAATCTGGGCTGTGTTCACAAAGCATTTCGCTCGCCACTCCTCAGACTGTGCTAATTAATGGAAACGTTAAACTTTAATGGGGTGAACACAACAATTAAGCACATATTCTTCGCTGCATTTGTTGTTAAGAATAATCTTCTAGAAGAAGCTTGTGGGCGAATATGGTTCCAGATGGTGACAGAGACTCTTGGAGCGCCTGTACTAAGCCTTTTTTTTGTTTTGTTTTTTGCAGACACAGAACCCTAACCAGCGTACGTGCAGTAGAATCTTATCTATCTTCGCAGTCTATTGCGCAAAGTATCTTTTTGCAAAATCTTTGGAAGAAAGTTAATGTTTCTTAACACAATTCACAGGGTGCAAGAGTTTTCCTCTGAAATTTTATCGAAAGATTCTTAGGTTTTCCCTGCGTTTTTATCCTTATGTGTCATGCAGACATGGACATAGACGGTTTCTTCCTAACGACATATACAGTGTATTTATGATGACATAGTGTATTTGGCATTTCGCCTTTATAGGGAAGACATGCTACCTGCGCGAATAGAGACCGATTGACCTACAATTCCCGATCTTGCAACAAACGTCTTAGTTTGCAGAGTCGTGTTGCAATAGTTTACACAAACGTGCTGCTCGTCGTTAACAACGTGCAATTTTTTTTTAGTTCGCCGTGTCCAATACATCAAAATTTATCGTTATCATCTTACTTAATTAATGCGTTGCTCGTATCTCTGTAAAAACACGTTAATCTAATCGTTGTCGTTTGTTTCTTGCCTCTTTGCAGCAGCAAGATAAGCAGAGGACATCGTGCCAACAGATACCCCTCCTAAAAGTCAGGGTGAGTGCATGTCGACTTAACTTGTACTATCTGCCTCAAATGAAACCCGAACAGCGCCAAGCCTTCATATACATACATTACCCTCTTAACTCCACTAGAATGTGGTTTCAAACGCATCGACTAAACAGGATCGCTTAACCTTCGTGATGTCGAGTTATGTCGGGTTGTTCATGTTGATAGTTGAGCGATTTCCCTTCTTTTTTTCTTGTCCACATTTCACTAGATTGCATATCAGCTGTAGGGATGCCGATTGGCCGAAACACAAGATAACAAAAGAAGACAAGGATAGTGGGCTCGTAATACTTGAAGCCTCCGTGCGACCGATCGAAGTACAAAGAGGGAATGGGTGAGTGGGCGAAATAAATCACGCAAGAAACGGCCATGAGCGAAGGCATGTGCAGCGCTCTGCACTAGGGGGGAGGGGGCTCTGGAGAGAGCAAGCTTTAGTGCAGCCCCTCTCCTCCTCCCCCGCTCCCCCCCCCCCCTCCAAAAAAAAAAACCACACTAGTGTGAGCTTGGTTCCTACGTTCCCGGGAATAAAAGCGGCCAGTAAGCAGCTCTGGAATACGGCGATAGGTCATCTGGACCGCCATTATCGTCAAAAATATGCATGGCTATGCAATTTAATTAGTGACGGGGCAGCGGTAACTGAGTAAAAGCTCGTGGCAGACTTGGGTTCGGGGGTATGATTAGCCGAGGGGAAAAGAGCTCGTGCCCCTGCCCCCCCCCCCCCCCCATCCCCTGTGCAGGGGCGAATGGCCTCGGCTGAGAGCTTATTCTGTTAGCACGCCCACTATAAGAACACTCTGAAATGTTCGAAAAAGAAAATATAATCAAAATTCTTATTCTCAGACGGAATCGGGCCGCCGAAAGGCGTTACGTTGCGCGAATACGTCTGATACATTTCTTGTCAGCCGTGCTCTTACGTCGTTTTTTTTTTCATTCTTCAAGGTTTAAAAATAAGTTTAAAAAGAACGAAATATTATCAACAAATAAAAAACGCGTGCTCATAAGAGGCGGCGGGGTCGACCGTGAATCGTGCGTTATGGCGCGCGCGTTCCTTGCGTGTACGCCGCTTGCAATGCAAACGTGCGTGGAGCTCATATGCGGGGCTCATCGAAATGGGCTCTGCTTTTCGGGGGCGCGAGCATTCTCTGTATATCTCGTTAGGAAAAAAAAAAAGTGCGTTGTCAAGAGGCAAGCGGCAACAACTGGTGCAGGGGAAAGCTTTGCATACGGGCGAAAAAGATGTTTTACGTATTTCAAGTTTATTCATTCATTTCAGTCATTCAGTCATTCGTTTTCAAGTTTATTTATTTTTCACCATCAGGGTTCTCACATTACAGAGGTGAGGGGCATGTTACATATCAGAAACGGGAAACAACTCTTGATTAATAGAAAGAAAGGTAGAAAAACCTTCCTCCCGCTAATGCACGATATATGTTTATATATCGTTCGCGTTAAAGAAAAATTGTTTTGTCAAGCTCGTATAGTTTCAATGCAGCGTCCATGTTGTAGTGCTCAGAATACGAAGTAGCCACTTATATTTCCCGCAAGTATTTTCTACGCACAAATCCTTTTGCCACGTGCGTGCTTCATGAATAACTTTTTTTTTGTACGCGCGTGCGTACGCTTTCTCTGCATCGCGAAAGACCACGTGTTCGTCATAAAAACGCGTACTTAACGTGAACTAACGTTATACGACGTCTGCGTTGTATAGTTCTCACATATGCAAACAGAGGGTGTCGCTGGCGCGCTATGGCTGGTCCCGTAAGTACCTTGGGCTCTTAACGGTTATGGTTATAAAGCACGAACTAATGCACGGTTAATGGTCGACGCAGCGAAGTTAGATTGTAGTCAGAAACGCAACCATATTTAACGCGTACATTCGCTTCGTGCTATGCGGCAGAGCCGTGCGGTGCTGCTAGCGACAGGCCGGGGCAGGTGCGTGCAGCATATTATTCTATAAACTATATTTTCTTTCCTCTGCAGCTCCTTGCGACTGACGACGTCTTTATAACCACTGAGTTATGGTGACGTCATGCTGCTTCCCGTGCTTTAGTGCTTGCTCGGTTCCAGGGTGTTTATTAGTTCTTCGGAAACGGTGCTGTGCCGAGTCTGCGCTGCCGCGCAGAGCATATGCAGGGAACCGTATAAAGAAACTCCCACGGCGGGAACAGTATGGCGTGGCTGGCCATTCGCAGAGCTGCTTGGCAAAAAGCGAACGATCGCACGGCGAGTCGTTAATAGGTGCTGACGTAAGCACGACAATGCAATAAAAGGGATGAAAGTGCGGGAAAATGGGGGTCATTAATTATACACCCTGTCCGAACGATTCGGGGCAGTGCTGCGAAAGCTATATGAGCCGCATCCTTCTTGCCTGTTTACACGGTCTATCTGGCACTTCATTTGCCTAGTGACGTCGGTTGAACGGGGGGTCCAAACTTAACGGATTAAAACTGAGCCGTCGGTTCTTCGATCCCCGCGACCGCGGCTGGTGTTGGCTGCATGACTGACGTGACGCGTTTGTATGTGCACCTTCGGCGGCACTGCACGGAACTTTTGTAGGGCAAAGTATACGCGTATATATTGTGGGGGTGCTGACACCCCCCCCCCCCTGTAAAGTTGTCTGCGCCGCGTGGCGCACGTGTCTCGCCCCAAGGCTTTATTGCGGTGGTTACCACCGCCGGGCGATAGATGGCGTTGTGTTCGCTTTCAGTACCACTGTTGGTAGAGTGGTAGCGCCGGCGGTGGCCCCTGGCGGAGGGCAGGCCTTGGCGGTGGGCGAGCATTGAGCGAGCCTCTTCTGCGCGTGGCGGCTGCCGCGAACGGTTGTCTGTGGCGTGGGTCCCCGGTGCTCGGCACCGCGGGCTTCGCGCCGGGGTCCCACGAGGAAAGTCAGGCGTTGGCGACGCCGCCTTGGGTATGTGTTATGGCGAATTCCATTGGGAGAGCAGGTGCACTCAAAAGCACGCTCAAAGTGCTCTCTTCCGAGGCGGCGTGTTTCAGTGGTCGAACAGGAGTAGGAGCACTGTCATCCATTGGTAGAGCGAGAGCGCTTTTGCTGCGCCGAGAGCAGCCAGGAGCAGTTCTGTCTGCTCCCTCTTAAAAAGCGGAGTGAGTGGAAAACGCAGGAAACCACGTGTTTGGAACGTCATGTCCGGACATACCCTCTCAGCAATCCTCCTCACTTGTTTACATTTTGCGGGCGTCGTGTCGGGCGGTTATGGCGGCAGCGAAGCGTGCGTGGTGCTCGGGCTCGAACGATTTTAACGTCGTAGCGGCAGATTCTGGCAGTGAACGTCCACCTTGCCTGCCTTCAGATTCACGGATGGCGGAGGCAGCAAAACGTCGTCGTCTTGCCGAAGTATTTGACGAGCTAGACGATGTCAGCAGCGATAGCTGCTGGAGCTCTACGTCCGAGTCGAGTTCAAGCAGCAGCGACGATGACGACGAAGTGTATGCAGCAGCGTTTCAGCAGCTCTTTTCTCTGCCAGAGCGAAGGCCGAAAGTGGAAGCATATGTTACAAAGACGGTGGCTAGCTACTCCGACGAGGAGGTGAGTCATTCGGCTTCTGTTTTAATTAGGTTGCTTAAAGGCCTGTTTTCTTCCAGTTCAAAAGAAATTTCCGCGTCACGCGGCCGGTCGTGGACTTCTTGGCAGCAGAATTCGCCAAGTCACCGCACTGCCCTCAGAACAGTGATCATGGTGGCCTGCCTGCCAAGTCGGCTGAAGAACACATTCTCTCCTTTCTTTGGTGAGTGTCCGTACGTTTAGGAATGCCGCTGTCATCAGGTCACTGCATAATCCGTTTTATAGTGGGTTAGAGGCATATGAATATTGCAAATAAATGTACCTAATTCGCAGCATGTCATTGGACCACCTTGCTTTAAACTTGTTAAATGCTACTAGCGAGTGTCGAACGTAATAGAGTTATAGTATTTTGTGAAATGCTTTCGTAGTTTGTACACCTACACACTGAGCTTCACAAAATTCTCGTTACTAGAATCAGTGGCAAAGCATAATTCATGATGCATCATTACAAACAACCATGAAAACTTTTGCTCACGAAGCATTTCAAATCGGCTGTGTCAGCAGGTTCACAGTGAGCTTCATCTCCACACTTATAAATGTAATGCGCGAATTAAAATTAGAATTTGTTATTTAGATAGTGCTTCTACTAATCAAATATTTTGAGTTTCTAAGGTGTCACCCAAAAAGGTGGAATCGTGTTTTCTGACTTCAGTTGTCTTGCTAATTTGCTTCATTGACAGCGACAGCATTGTTAACACCATTATTCAGTCATTGACAGCAACAGCAAGCTTAATTCCATTATTTAATTAGAGTATCCTCTCCTTTTCAGGTATGCAGCCAACAAAGCATGCATTAGAGATGTCGCTGGCCGCTTTGAAGTCGCAGAAAGCACTCACCACAGAATGATGGGCCGAGTAACTGCATTCCTGCTCGACATAGCACCGAATGTAATCAAGTTCCCCAGTGACCTGCAGAAGCTTGCTGTGGATTTTGAGAAGGTAACTATGCTTTTGTAAACATGCTATTTAAGGTATAAACTACAGTTTTTTTCACACCAATGTCATACAGCTCTACACAACTCAAGGGACCAGACTAAGAGGAATTACACCTACTCAAACCACAATAAGGACTGAAAGCAACTGATATGCAGGATCAGAACTGCAAATGAACAGAAAATGTAAAAATGCAAGAGATATGAAAGAGCACCACACAGTCAAGCCTCCTTCATGTGTATTACAAATGCTGTCAGCAATCGGACATTTTTCTTGAGTAGTTTTGACCATGTGATGCTGTTTCATATCTCTTCTATTTTCCCATCTTCTGCTTAGTGATGTACATCTAGTACTTGTCCTGCATGTACAGTGAATAAACCTAGAGTTCAGTTACTTGTGCACTCTGTATGTACTCTGTATGTGTCATTAATTCCCCTTCGTGCGGTCCCATGTGTTCTTTACCGCTCTACTAT